TACTAAAAGAGCGGAGGGAAAAGATCACCAGAAGGTTTGAAAGAACAAGAATAGGATGCATAACAAAATCTTGTGACTCTCAGATGCAGCTGCATCTGTGATTGGCTCTTAATTAGATGCAATTAACATGCGCCAATCACAGCTGCACCTGTTGCATTCCACAGCAGCAGATAGTTATTGTTCGTATTTCATTCCTGAGGCCCTCAGCTCCTCAGGAGGGCAAAATCCTCGCAAAGGATTTTTCATAAAATATCATAGCTACACCTTCTGAGTGCGCTGCAGCTCCATCCTGGACAGGCAGGAGAAGCTCCAGGCCTCCCTTTTCCATTTCCCATTCCCATTTCCCATTCCCATTTCCATTTCCCATTTCCATTCCCATTTCCATTCCCATTTCCCACAGCTCCTGCTGAGTGCCCGCTGCAGCTCCATCCTGGACAGGCAGGAGAAGCTCCAGGGCTCCCTTTTCCATTTCCCATTCCCATTTCCATTCCCATTCCCATTCCCATTCCCATTCCCATTCCCACGTCCCACAGCTCCTGCTGAGTGCCCGCTGCAGCTCCATCCTGGACCATCAGCTGGCGGAGAAGCGGCAGATGCAGGCGGAGCAGCGGGCGGAGGAGCAGCGCCTGCAGCGGCTCATGGACAGCGAGCAGGAGAAGGAGCTGCAGCTGCAGGACGAGCTGGAGCGCTGCAGGAAGCAGGAGCTCATCAGGTCCGTGCTTCCTTTTCCTTTTCCCTTTTCCTCTACTGTTTCCCCTTCTTTTCCCTCTCCTCTTTTTAGCTTATCTCTTTTCCCTTATCTCTTCTCCCTTTCCCCATTCTTTTTTTCCTCTTCCCTTTCCCCTTTCTCCTTTTCCTTTCCCCCTTTCTTTTCCCTTTCCCTTCTTTTCTGTTTCCCCTTTCCCTCTTTTCCCTTCTTCCCTTTCTTTTTCCCTCTTTCCCTATCCCCTTTTCCCTTTCTTTCCCATCCTTTTCCTTCTTTTCCCTTTTTTTGCCTTTTCCCTTTCTACCCTTTCTCCTTTCCCCTTTTTCCTTCTTTCCCCTCCTTTTTTCCCTATCTCCTTTCCCTCTTTTTCCTTTCTCCCTCTTTCCCCTTTCCCTTTTTTTCTCCTTTTCCCCTTTTCTTTTTCCCCTTTTCCATTTCACTTTCTCCCCTTTTCCCTTTCCCCTCCTTTTCCCTTCCCCACCCCATACACTCCAACTCCACAATTCTGGAACCAGAACAGAACTTTTCCATTCCCAAATTCCCGAATTCCCAAATAATTCCCGAATGCTTCCCGAATTCCCAGCACCAAGCTGGAGGTGCTCCAGCAGATAGAGCAGAGGCAGGAGCAGCGGGCGCTGAGGGCCGAGCAGAAATTCCAGGAGGGCCAGAGGTTCATGGAGCGCCTGGAGCAGATGAAGAGGGAGGATCGCGAGGTGGGAGATTCCCAGCGGGAATTTGGGAATTTGGCTTAGAAGGGCTGGGAAGGGCGTGGGGCAGGATCGGGGCTCTGGTGGCCTTGGGGACGTGGTGGCATCAGTGAGAGGGGGACACAGAGCTGCTGGGGATCCCAGAGATTGGGGATCCCAAGGAATGGGGGTCCTCATGAGGGGGATCCCAGGGGTTTGGGATCCCAGGGAATGGGGATCCATAGCAAGGGGATTCCAGGGCTTTGGGATCCCATGGAATTGGGATCTATAGCGGGGGAATCCCAGGGAATGGGAGAACCCAGAGGTTTGGGATCCCATGGAATTGGGATCTATAGCAGGGGAATCCCAGGGGTTTGGGATCCCAGGGAATGGGGGATCCCGGGAAATTTGGGATCTCAGGGGTTTGGGATCCCAGGGAATGGGGATCCATAGCAAGGGGATTCCAGGGCTTTGGGATCCCATGGAATTGAGATCTATAGCAGGGGAATCCCAGGCGTTTGGGGATCCCGGGGAATGGGGGTCCCACGGAACTGGGATCCCCGTGGGAAGGCGGGGTTTTCGGGACTCTGCGGTGACGGGACCGCTGTCCCCGCGCTGTCCCCGCGCTGTCCCCGCGCTGTCCCCGCGCTGTGGCCAGGCCTGGCAGCAGCAGCAGCAGCGCAAGCGGCAGCTCCTGGCCGAGATGAAGGCGGTGGACGCGGAGAACCAGCGGCTGCGACAGCGCGACAGGGAGCGCGACAGGCGCGACGAGCTGCGGGCCCTGGAGGAGCAGCGCCAGAAGGGGGTGAGGGCGGGGCTGGCAGGGCACTGTCACCTCCCCTGGGGCACTGTCACCTCCCCCGGGGCGCTGTCACCTCCCCTGGGGCGCTGTCACCTTCTGGGGCTTTGTCACCTCCCCAGGACTCTGCCACCTTCTCAGGGTTCTGTCCCCCACTGTGTGTCC